TAATCGTGAAATGAAATTTTTCCAATCGCTCAACTATGAAAACGTCAATTTCACTATTCTCTATCTGTCTACCTTTAAGCGTCGTATGATTTTCTATAATAGGAAGCTTAGAAATTCCCATTAACACTATAAGATAATACCGCGAACACTGTTTGATAAATTTGCGACATGTGGAACAGTGATTCCCAATAGTGGAACGAGGAGAATATGACAGTTGAGAATCACTATGATAGGTTAGAAACGACGTTCGACTTATCACTGATGCTTGTTACATCATTTCACGAAAGCTTCCTCGAAAACGCATGTCACTCCAAGTTTCTCCACCTGAACACACTAAAACGTATACTCGAATCATTCCATCAACTTTTCCCTCTTGAATTTCTATCAATTGACACTCTATTACAACGTGTTTAGTATATACTACGTTCAATATCGTAATAAAAATGGTGAACTATAAAATACAGTAGCGCTCGATTTATTCGAACGATTTACCTAACCTGTACTAAGCACCCCTTTATCGAAATTTATTGTGGTCGAGTGTTCTAGAATTCCTTCAATTCTGTAGCTAGAATTCCTGCACGTGTTAATGTAATGCCCTCTCTAAATACAATTACTAAACGATCTAAACTACAACCAGAGTCAAATGCAACCAAGTGAATTACATAGTTTCCGACACTTAAAGCTTTCTATACAATTATTTTTCGTGTAAAATAAAGATATTTTAAAGGATCGCCAGATCAAGTGTGTAAATGTATTCGTATTGAATTACTTGAAACGTGACAGGTGGTAGAGAGAACAAAGTTCTCATTATACCCCAACTGTCTTGCACTGCAATGGCTTCCACGTCGTACAAAATGCGGAACTTTTACACAAAACCTTCATTAGTCACCATAGTGCCAGTACAGATATACTAATTATGCGCACAGTTTCAACTTAACCCGAACGTGTGACCCCGATACGCGTGTCACGTGTTCCCCGTTCAAACCAGACACCCTGTACCATCGTATTAATACAACCGCCATTTAATGGTGTATATCGCGTGCGTATTAGGTTAACCGTAACCGTATTATCCGCGCAGCCGGATACCGCGACCGAGCACAATCGGTAACTAACCTGCTTACACTCGAATATTCGACTGTATCCGCTGAAAACCGGTGCACGCCGACTCAATTTCGCTCTGGCGCATGTTTTTTTCCATCTCACTCTCTGCGCCGTCGATCATCCTCCCCAATGACGCAACACGATCTGCTAGGACCGACTAACACTGGGACACGAAAGGACGGGGAAGAAGGTACGGGTAAAAGAAGTCCAGAACGATGTTTTTCTCGTACGACGCGAAAACGTATCGAAAAGTCCCGGCACGGCCATGTCGCAATCCCTTTCTCTAGTTATGCAGTCGTGTTCCAATTCCTCTCGAGCCGAGTCAGGCAAAAGTGTCAGGCCGAACGAAACGGATCGGCCGTCGTTATCCTACTGACACACTTTGAGTCGCGTACCTTGTACGGAGAGCAAGCCTCGGCCTTGGCCACCTTCGCGATATCCGTCCACGGGGTAGCCCGTCCTCGGTTCGGGATCAAACGGCGTGTAAAACGGGGCGCTAGACGTAGTCACCGCTGCCACGTGTTCCAAAGGAGTCCCCCGATGTTTTCGTGGTACACCGTACTTCAACACTGGCCACAAATGGTAAACTGCTTCGCGTTGGTATTTATTTTTAAATACTCGCTATGGCTCGACAACTATGACACGCTACGGTGTTCCCCTTCGTCGATACGTGGAAGTTTCCACTAGGTGTTGTGCCCGTACGCGACACCCACGAGCATATGGTTTCACTGGGCGACTATCTGACTGATAAATTTGACGTGAAAAAAGCGTTGTACTTGAGATGCCGTGTCTCCTTTTCGCGTATCGAGCTCGATACGCGGTGAATAACACGCGACTCGTCGTGGCTCAGTGTTGTGTCTCTTGACGTTTCTTACACGCACTCAACACGAACCCAACCAGATAGCGCTGTGGGGAAGTCCCGTGATGAATATACGGATACGAATGCTTTTTGAAAAGTTCCTTAGCCGATGGCTTCGTTCCACTTTCACTCGGTCGGCACGTCACACGCGACCACGAACGCGGAGAAACAACGGTGTTTGAGGTGCACGTAACAAGACCAGGGAGACATATGCGCGCACGAGGCTACGTATAAATGCGTATAGGTAGAATGAATATGGTGCACGATGGGACGGGATGCGCAGTAAACAAGACACGATGCGCACCGGCCCAAGTCTCGAAGCCGACTGACGGCCCCCCCACTACGCAATACGCGAGTCACCCTTCACCGGCGACTAACAGCTGATTTGGAAAACACCGAGATCCGCCCAGTGGCGGACCAAGTGAACCGGGTGCCCGGCCCGTTGCGTAATATACCAACTAATCCTATTTCTCGATTCCACGAGAATCGAATTAAGTGCCTCGCTGGTGCACACGAGCACTAAGTAAACCACATAGCCGGACACGTTGCCGGAAACGTTATACTTACGATATATATTTCTTGAGGTTTCTTAATAAAGCAAGGTTGATTAGAAAAGGATTGACAACTAAATTTATTACGAGTTTCTTTCGTTGGTTTATTGCTCAAGTCACTAACGGAGTTGCTGTAATATTTTTATCGATCAGCGTTCCATTTGCGTCGCAATCGCGACGAAGTTTCGCATGTGGAACGAGTTCACTTGCACTTCGACGAAATTTCTTTCGCGTATCGAGAAGAAAATTGTACATCGTGAATCGTAAATATCGTGTTCTCCCACTGTGCGTCGCTTAAGCGTCTAGATAATGTTTGTTCTCGCATGGTAAGAACAAGGAAAGAGCATAGTCGAGTAATATATAGAAAAGAGTCCGAAGTATCACGGTAGAGGCATGCGCTTTCAAGGAGCACAACATTTATGATTCATATATGTATATACGAATATATCGCTGAGACCCATATCGCTCAAGTGCGTGTTACCATGTAATATTTAGAAGTATATTTATAAATAAATAAAGAACGTGTGACTCTTTAATAGATGAAGATGTAATTGACATAAATTGTTGGTTAATTTACATAGTTGAACTGTATCGAAAGATAAATATCGATCGTCGATAAACAAAATGTCGATTGGATCGATAAAACCGGAACGTGTTGATACTTATTAACCTGCATAGCTATGTGCACATATAGCGAGACGTAAAACAGATATAATTTTTTTTACATTAAGTTGTTAAATATATCCTCATAATCGCTCGTTTTACGTTGTTATTCGACCACGAGCTGCAAGGAATCCGGTTAATTGGATATATATTATAGACGGATAACTTAATTAGACTTGAACTGTCGTAGTGCAGCTGCGATTTTAGCTGTGCAATTGAAACTGTTAGGACGAAAAACTTATTACATAAATTATAAAATTAACGGCCTTGAACCACTATAAACATTTCATTACTGTGACATAACATTTTCGCATGCTTCGTTCGCAAGTCTACTATAAATGGTGCATAAATTATCTTACTGTGCAATGCATAGCATTTTCTTCCTGGCTTCGCTTTAATCTATCCAATTTCCTCGCAAAACGTCGTTCTACAAAATTACGATATTCCGTAACATTGAAAATAACACTTTACTAGTTTACATATACATTTCGATTTTCCCGAGTAACAACACAAACCAAAGAAAATATACAAAATTATAGAATGACGAAAATGTAGTATTATCTTTATATTTCTTCTTCACTATTTTATTCAACAGGGGAATAAAAAATAATTTTACACTTTAGCAAAATTTGAAGTCCTAGAACTAGATTTGAACTAATAAAAATTCATTGATCAGATACTTATGTAATGGACACATACAATACATTGCAGAAAACTAATTAATAAAGGTCAGCTGGCTTATTTTAAAAGGTAGTGTATATGACAACAAAGGCTGATAAACATTTCACTACCACAGTTACATTATTCTGTTTCACTGACCAATAAACAACGTTCAATATTGCTCGCTTAAAAGGCTAGCATCTTCTGGCTGATATGTCACTAAATTTAGAAGTTCACAGGTGCGTGTCATTTTTGTTCTTTGGGAACCTTGCGTACAAATTCTTCCTTTGTTCTCAGAAAAGACAGAGAGAGAATGAAGGCCAGCATGTTAATATCAGAATATTTTGAACCAATATTCTATTTTTAATGCTTTCAGACACTATTAACCCTGTATGCTACACTTTATTTAAAGAAGCGAACCTGAGACACAGAAGTCAAGAGCAAAATACATGTAACATTCAATGGCAATTTTAAGTCAAGATATAGAAGTAGTTACAAAATAACCTTATATATACCTATACTAGAATCAAGTTATATAATTCTGAAACAAGTAATATAATTTTTATGTTACTGCCTAGTTCCTTAAACAATATTATATTTACTTCTTTGTCATTAATTATGATTTTCATAATACATAGTGTGTAACAACATTAAATAATTAAATTCTATGAGACATTCATGAAAATTTTATATTCTTAAAGTCAGACAATATATTTTTGTGTCGAACATCATACTGCAGCATGACAAGTGATTTTAAGCCTTATGCTTCTAATTGGAAATTCAACCCAATGGTTTCTATTGATTGAATAACTGACATTTGACATAGATGGAAATTTCAAAGAGATCTTTTTCTTAAATTCCATATAACCCTTAAAGAAACAGATAACTGTCATTCTTATTGGACAAAAAACAGACGCAACGTTTCCCAAAATATATCTATGTTAACTATAGAACCAATGAAAGTTACTCGATGTTACGACTACGTTTCGAAAACGTTATCAACGATTCGAAGCAGCAATCGATTGCACGTTATCAGGATCAAAGATAGGCGTGATTATCGGTTGTACAGAACCGTGTTGAAACGTGTGGGAAACAAGAATATAACATACCAAATGTCAAAACATGGGTGACCGTGTGCTCCGTGCTGGTATTCTCAAGGATTTCCGAGGGTGGGGGTGGCGGTGGAAGTGGCGGCTGCATGGCGTTCTCCATGTCCCTGTTGTTTATTAAATTACGATGTAATTTTTGGTCTTTCTCAGCGAAAACGCATCTGGCGAAACATGCGGGTCGATGATCCTCTGTTAGGGCGCAAAACGTACGTGTATCACCGTAGGAACTGTACACGCGTGACAAGATCTCGTTGAGTTAGCGATCGACGAGGAGGAATCGCGTGTTTACCGTACGCGTTAGAACACCGATTGTCCTGATTGTCACGAGGAATCGACGAACGATCCGAGAAATTCTGCTGACACTGCGTTTTTACATGATTGCCACGATTTTCTCGCGTCCGTGTTGACGGACAACGAAGAGACACGCACGTTTCGATACTGCGCACCAGAACCGCGCAATGTACAACTCAGACAGCTTCGGTTGGTGCGTCAGTACCGTCGACCGATTACCGACTGTAGCAATGGAAAATGATCTGGCATGTTCGCTTACATGGCGAAAGTATCTCGATCATTTTTCATTATTATGCGTGATAAATTGGAATTGAGAAGAGAAAAAAAAAAAAAAAAAGAAATGAAATACTTTCCTTGATAGACAATCGAGAATGATGTATAATGTTAATAAGGTGAACGATGAAACAAGATGTTGTTGATCGAAATAAATAATGATTATTAAAAGTAAACAGTGACTTTATTTGTAATAACAAGTCTTTAACAATAGTAAGATGTTAATAAAAGTCATTGTCTAAGCCAGCGTCGATGAATTTATTTTTTAAATAGCCTGAGTCTCTTTTACGCTGAATAATTAAATCGTTTCTCGTGTATTGCTTAAAGATGTACTTAGATGCTTCGGTAGATTATACTCTCTTCTAGACGACAGAAAGTGCAAAAGACAAGTTTCTGATTCGAATAATTACTAATCGTATATAATTAGAATTATAATAGTTTTTCTTCCTTCACACTTGGAAAATTAGAAACTTACTAAGCATAATACGTATAGTTTAAGACACAAGTACTTAAATACTTCGTTGTATCGTAAATGATCGATGAAAAATTAACGAATAACTAAATCTAGGTTTTACCATGAGTAATGGGGTACACATTATCTGTTCAACAGCGATAACTTAGTTATTATAGGTCAGATGTATCCCACCACTCGTTTTAACGCATATCTTTATAAATGTTAGCTTTCGGTAAAGATTAATTGAAACAATTCAGTAGAAACTGTGATACTTTAGAGTTAAAATCAATTTTGAATTTGTTTATATCAAAATGCTTGTTGAACTTTTGCCATTTTGGACGAAATACTGGTACCATGTGCTAATCATTATTATACTTTACAATTTTTTAAAATTATTTTACGCAGTATCGAAAAAAGGCGTCATTTTTATTGAAAATAGTAAACATAATTTTAACAATGTAGATAATACCGTGGAGCAGTTAGAAGGTAATAATACTATATGTTATTGCTACAATTTTTTAATTTTTAAAAATAAGAATCATTTAAAAAATGTACGCCATTTAAGATACAAATTAATATAATGTTTTATGAAATTAAATTTGAATTAATTATGAAATGTTTTTTAGATATTAATAAAGAAACATTAGAAGATAGTGAGGAACCTGTACTACCAAAAGATTTAGAACATATTTCATATGAATTTAGGAGACTCTCTGAAGTAGAATTACTCTGTCGAGCTTCTGAATTTTATAAAATAGTAGCTGCTAGAAGAACTATAAGATTTTTCAGTTCTGACCCTGTACCAAAAGAAGTCATACATGAGATAATTAAAGCTGCAGGTACAATATCATGTTGTTACATTCACAAAACATTTTATACATCTGAGTCTGTTTAGGCACTGCGCCTAGTGGTGCGCATACAGAACCATGGACATTCGTAGCGGTATCAAATCAAAAGGTAAAAGAACAAATAAGATATATTGTTGAAAGGGAAGAAGAAATAAATTATAAAAAAAGAATGGGAGTAAAGTGGACAACCGATTTACTTCCATTGAAAACAAATTGGATTAAAGAGTACCTGACTACCGCTCCTTATTTAGTGCTTGTGTTTAAACAAACTTATGGAATTTTACCCAATGGAAAAAAGAAAATTCATTATTACAATGAAATGAGCACATCTATTGCTTGTGGTATTCTCATCACCGCTATACAGGTAATATTATTATAATACTATGATCTCTTATACTGTATACCTATGAATAATATGGATTTATAATACGTGAACTTTAAAACTAGTTTGCAGGTTTGGTAACTCTGACTTCTACTCCTTTAAATTGTGGACCTGCTATCCGCAACCTTCTTGACCGTCCTCCTAATGAGAAGCTTGTTGTACTACTGCCAGTTGGTTATCCAGCAAAGGATGCTACAGTGCCTGCCCTTCAGCGAAAATCTCTATCTGATATTTTAATAGAAATTGATTGACACATATGTAATAACAAATTATGGGAATCAAAGTACCTCTCTTTAATACTTTTAGCAGAATATTTGCTTGCTTGTGGGATAATATAAAATGAATACACATAATCATAGATTTATATCAATCCTGTTTTTATAAAAAAACTTATATTTGTTTTGAGTATTGTTTGTTACTTATGATTACCTTACATTACACTCCTTGGTCAAAGACATGACTTTCAATCTTATAAAGTTATCCTAAAATGTTCAAAAGGGAACTATTCCCTGAAATATAGCACCCAAAGAAGTTCTATCGTTATTTATTATGTTCCTGCACTCAGAAAATATTCATGGCACACAATAAGACTGTCTAAAGTTAGTGATTCAGTTTGTATACTAATGTTTATTCAAATTTGCATACAGTGTGTTAAAAATAAGCAATATAAAATGTAAATTCACCATGTTTAATTGATTCAAACTCAAAACTCTTTATAGACTAATTTTCATGACACCTAATACGCAATTCCATGTCGTTAAGCGACCCTAAAATTACTGAATAAAAAAAAAACAGTTACATCAATGAGTACCAAATATCACCACGGTATCTTAAATTAAGTACATTCAATGTATAAAATATAAAAATACTGAGCTAACAATAAAGGGCATATAGAATATAATTTTCTGCAGTACTGCAAGTTTGTATGTCATAGCTATACTGCTACTAATGGCTGTGTCATTAAGTGTAAAAGCTTTAGTATCATGATACGTACAGATAAACAGATAGTATTCTATTTATCACTATTTATGAAACAGATGCTATTAATATCATGTTCTTCCTAGAATATCAATTTTTTTTTCTTACTTTTGTTTCTTTCATGAAGCTTGGATTGGACCAAGTTAATAGCAAGGAGCTAAGAGTTTATGAAAATTTGAGATCTCCAAGTCGTTTAAAGTGTAAGCTGTTTCGAAATCGTAAAAGCAACCGAACTTCGAATGTCAATGGCTAAAAATAGACTGGCCCGGTGAACTAGGAGAGTATTTATCGATGTTTGCAATTATCGAACTAATTTCTCTAATTTCTAGGATAGTAATAATCGTCATAGATGTAGGGTGTCTTTCTAAAATCAATAAAAAATACATTCCATCCATTTCTTCAATGTAAAACACGACGATATTCAACGACAATCCGATGTCGAAGTCTTTGACCATTAAGGTTATTCCATTAATTCCATTAATTCCATTAACTTGAACGGCGAGCTTAAAGAAATTGTTTGTCTATTCTCGACAGAAACATTAAGACAGCCCTTTAACCCTATACCCTTGTACATCTACTGATAAACGCTAGGTGATTAAAATTATAAATACGTAATTATCATACTTTTAGTTTTCTGAGATCACCAGTGCCTGAGATATCTAACGCAACATACATATGTATGTACTACGAATACTTCGCAATAATTCATCTTATTTAATGGAACTTAAACCAAAAAAGAAAAAAAAAAACAGGAATTATTAATGCTGCCAACGTTGTTAATGAACTTAATTACAAACAGAAAAAGAGAAGTTCCTCGACTATTGAAAGTACATCCGCGTCCATTGTAATACTATAAGAAAGTGGGTTTACGAATACTCTCCTAATTCGAGAACGGCCACTGCACCACAGTAAATAGATAAAATCCGTCACTTATCTACGAGACAAAACTTTTTAATCACGGCGATGAAACTCTGCTATGCACAGACGGCAAGACCAGGAGCCCTCGGGAGGAGATGCAAGAGGTGGAGACAGACAATACATGTGGTATCCACGATCACAGTCGTCACAGAACAGCAGTTGATCCTAGTTTGGTTCGCGAAACAATTAATTAGCTTGCAGCGATACCCTAACTGGGTGTAGTTGTTCGCGGCTGTTGCTTTAGATTACTATTTCTTCCTCTTTCAAAGCATAGTACACGATATTATCCTATAGTATTCACTTATTCAAACGTAGTCTGATTCAGCGTTACTTTTCAATAGCCATAGTCAATAATATATATTTTTTTCTTTTTGAGGAAATATAAGCAACGCGTCATAATTGAACAAGTTGAAAAATTTTTTAAATATTACTAGTACATTTTCGTACAAACTGCTCGAACTATTTTAATCCTTCTATGTCCATCTAACCAAAATTTTTCTAAAAGAAACGAATTTATGTATAATACCATTAAAGCAAAGATGTACAAAGAATGTCAAAAGATAAAAGAAAAGTTAAGTGGTAACAAAAGATCGACGTAAAGTAATCGATACAGCAAAACGTAAACAAGGAAAAAGGGGTACTGAAATACCACCGTTCTTCCTTAACAAAGAAAAAGAATCAAAATAGTCGGAGTAAGTGTACGTGGACTGTTCTTTGTCTGCCCCGTGTAAGGGAATCTCGAAAAAAAAAAAAAAAGGAAATGAATACTCACATCGTTGTCAGAAGTGCCACAAATGGAACAGCATTTGCATTCGATACACTGCCACCTGTACTTGCGAACAGAAACGATCATGTTCGCAGTGAATTGCAAACAAGTCGGATGCCCTATAACAAGAACGTAGCCAGGTCATGGAACACGCATATGGGACGGAACAGGATAGCTGTTTTGGACGAGTAGAAAGGTGCTAGGACATTTATCTTGTGCCGAAGAACAGTGAACTCCAAGCTATCATTTCGTTTCTACTATTTTTTTTTCTCGTATCGGAACGTTCGTTTATCGAAACTTCAAACCAAATTCAGATTTTTCTTTTTTTTTTTTTGTTCGATCATTCGAGAAACGCGTGCGACAAGTTAGGTTATTTATGATTTATCACAACAAATCATGACTTTCACCCTTCCTCAGCACTAAAAACGTCCGGAATAATGATACGTTCTGTTATGTTTCCGCACAGAATGTTTTATTTCATGATATCTGCGATTGTATTTTTTTTTTTTTTTGATGTTGCCTCTTGAACATATTGTTATTTTATTTGGAATAGTAAGGTGGTAAGTAATAGCGGTGCGTACCTTGGAATAGTTCACGTTCTTTCTTGCGCAGCACAATATAAACGTCGCGGACCAGCACACTCTCTCCTCTCATTATATATTTTCACACACTTTTTTCATACCGTCTCTCATTCTTTCTCACCTCTTTCACGCTATTTCTTCGTTTTTCTACTACCTTGCACGCTTTTTCTCTCCTTTTGTGTGTGTGTGTTTGTTTCCTTTTTTCTCCTCCGCACCCGTACATTCACCCGAACACGCATACATGCACACACACATACACGCAACTCATATAACGTATCACATTTGAT